AAAAAACATACAATTCATTCAAACCCCTGACATTATAAAAAATATTAGTGACCTTTTTCAGATAGCACTAGTATTTCCACGGTGGGGAATATGAGAATCTATAAAGTACTTGCTTCAAGAAGTCTCTTATACTTATTCCATAATGCGTATCTATCAAAAGCATTTCTATTTCCAAATGCTTTGGCAAGAATTTACTTGAAATAATTCTCTTGCAACCTTCAAACATGAAAGGTATTTTTTAGAACAATTGTCCCTTTGCTCACTTATTTAGTTTTCCATCAAATATTTTCTCTATTACATTTGATCTAAAAAGTGGTCACAGAACACAGCAAGGTAACTGAAAATAGCTCATACTCCTCCACCAAAAGGGCTTTTAACAAATTACGATTGCACAATCAAAATCTTCAGTATACTGATATATCAAAGCACAGTGATTGTGTCCCAAATAAACACGTTGTTTGGACGCCCTATCTATAGATGAGCTATTTGTTCCTAAAATTTGCCAAATTCCAAATATACAGTTCAAATAGAGTTCCAGTACTTTACCAAAAGCTCAGAGAACAGGTTCCTCACTAATTTTTAAATTTAGACATTTTGAAGATGGCAACATCCAGAACATGGTCATTTCCTTAGGAAATTAAAAGTTAAAGAAGCTTGAAATTAAGTGATTTGGAATTAATCAAATATAGTGGAGTGTAAACAAACAAACAAAAACAAAGGTACATATTTTCCCCCATTGTCATTAGACTCTGTTTATTTTCCCCAAGGATTTTTTTTAAATCAAGGCAGGAGAATAATATTACAGCCTAACAATTTTAATATCTATAGGAATGATACCCAGCAACTCCAGCAAAACTCAGTACTTTAGTTTAGCATGTAAAATGAGCTAGCTAAACTTTTAATAAGACAACTTCCTAAGTGCCTGTCTAAAGCCAAAATTAAAATGTTAATGCCCAGAGTGCTTGGATTCCAAATTTCTCTACGTAACACCACTATGAATCCCAAATCATGACACTAAAGGATTTCTAACTCTGTAGGGTCTAATTCTCTTTCAATCTAATTCTGCTTCCAATGAGAGTAAAACTGGGCCCTAAATTTAATTTGGTGCATTTGCACTGAGATTTTTTCACCATCATTTTGGAAAAAGCAAATAGGGTACCATTTTAATATTTCAATTTTGTTGTACAAAACATTAATTTTAAGAAGTTTACAACTTTAGGTCTGACCTAACCCCAAGTTCATACAGTAGTCAACCTGTAACAAAAAGGCAAGAGTTTCTAAAATTCACAACAAATAGACAGCATGCCAAGCTTGCTTAAATATTAACCTAATAAAATGAGAAATCAAGATTTGCTAATGCCTCTCAGTAAGGATGTGTCTAGATTACAGGGTTTTTGGGGGGGGGGGGGGAGGGAGGAGAAGAGACCTTTTTTCAAAAAAACTTCATCTGTGTCTAGACTGCTGCTGCGTTCTTTTGAAATTAAATCAAATGAACGCGGCAGGTTTTTCAACTGTGGAAAACCTCATTTTATGAGGAATAATGCCTTTTTTCGAAAGAGCACTTTCGAAAAAAGGCATTATTGAACACAAACAATGTTTTTTGAAAGAGAGCATCCAGACCGCCTGTGTGCTCTTTTTCGAAAAAGCGACTTTTTTCGAAAATACTGGTTGCTGTCTAAACAATCTTTCGAAAGACGCTTTACAAAAAAAAAAAAACCACACACCACACTTTCAAAAGAGGCTTGTAGTCTAGACGTAGCCTAAGAATAGTGTTTAATAGTAAACTTTTCTTATACTTTAATGCTTTTACAACCTTTAAATAAATATACAGTGTGTTGATTTAATTAAGAACACAAGAACAGCCATACTGGGTCAGACCAAAGGTCCATCTAGCCCAGTATCCTGTCTGCCGACAGTGGCCAATGCCAGGTGTCCCAGAGGGTGTCCCAGGTGTCCCACAAGGCTCTCATGAGGGAGCCAGATATGGCTCCTTTGGAACTCCAGCTCAGCCTCCCTCCCCACCCCGTTCCACCTGAAGGAGTGTGCCAGTGCTGGGTCCACAGCCTTATGGTTCCCTGGAAAATTGGGGCACCAGCACCAGCTTCCTGTGGAGGACAGTTGGGGGAGAAAGCCCCGAGCACTCCCCCTTCCCCGGATTTAGCATGTGTATAGAAAGTAGAGCCAAAACTGGCTTCCTTCCCCAATTGGGGGACCAGACTCACAGGGACACACTTCCAGAGGCTTCCCCTTTGTTCCCATTGGCCAGAATCCAGAAAATGAGAACAGCAAGAAGCCATGTTACATGGTGCCTGTGACAGCAGCGCAAAAGCAAGTGGTCCCCAACCCTCAAATGCCCAGACCCCGCATCTCCATCACTTTCCCCTCCACCAAGACCGTGCACCCCCAGGTCCTTCACTTACTCACATATACACACACCCCAGCCAGACACCTTGTCCCCAGCCCGCTCCTGCCCCTGCTCCCTCCCCCCCACGGTGGAACATCCTGCCCCCAGACTGCTTCTGCAACTTATGTCCCACCTAAACCCAGACCTCGCACCCTAACCCCCTCCTTCATCCCATCTTCCAGCCAGATCCTGTACCCCCATCCCTATCCCACTCACTGGCAGCCCTGTTCCACACATTTAACCCCTCATTTTTGGCCCCACCCCAGAGCCTAGGAGGACCCTCAAATTCCAATATCTTGGAACCCCACTCCTGCCATAAATGAAGACAATGTGGAAACCTTTTGTGTTGGACATCATGTTTTACTTTACAGGCAGTCCCTGGGTTACGTACAAGATAGGGACTGTAGGTTTGTTCTTAAGTTGAATCTGTATGTAAGTCAGAACTGGCGTCCAGATTCAGCCGCTGCTGAAACTGACTGCCAGTTCCGACTTACGTACAGAATCAACTTAAGAACCCCAGGCGTCCCCAAGTCAGCTGCTGCTGAAACTGATCAGCAGCCGATTTCAGGAAGCCCGGGGGAGAGCAACTCTGCCTCGCTTCCTGTATAGTCAGCCCCTGGTCAGTTTCAGCAGCGGCTGACTTGGGGATGCCTGGGGCAGAGCAGA